CAGAAGAGGCAGACGGTTACAGGCAGAGAGCGGACTAGCGGGGCCGGGGCTGGGAGGAGGGGAGCCATGAGCGACCGCGCGTGGGTACAGGTTTCTTTGGGGGACGGTAACGTGAAAATGTCCCGGAAGTAGATCGTGGTGACGGCTCCCAGCGTTATGGATGGGACTAAACAGCTCGGAACTATACATCGTACAACGAAAGGGTGACGTTATGGGATGAGAATTCTACCCCAGTAAAAAAGAAATGACCCAGTGAGCGCGCATCCCCACCCCTGGGGATGCTGGGAGGGGCCGGAGGTGGGGTGAGCGACCAGCTAAAACTCAGGTCAGATCAATGCAGCCACAGGGGTTTCCACCTGAGGGCTGGGCCGCAGGGCCTGCGGTAGGGGGAGCCGGCCACCGCCACTGCAGCAGGGCGGGGGCCGGGCGGGGTGGGGGGCGCATCTCGTCACCCCGCTCAGGTTCTCGCCCCAGGAGATGGGCTGCTCAGTGGAGAATCGCTGATGTCTGCGCACAGGTGAGTTTAACCTGTCAGGTAGGCAAGCTTGCCGCCGGCCCCGCAGCCAGAGCTCACTCGGGATGGACAGAAGGCTGGCTCTGGGCTGCTGCGCATGGGCGCAGAAAACCTGGGGACACTTGGCTCTCCCACGGTTGTTCTGAGTCACTTGGCAGCGAAGATACCAGCCAACCCGGGCCTCCGCTCTCTGCTGGACTTGCTCATGGAGAGGAAACCCGGGAGAGTTGCCCTTGGGCAGACTCTGGTGCACACTTCAGAGCCTGTGGCCCCCCGGCTCAGCCCTGTGCCAGCGTCTCCACCCTTTCTGTCCCCAACGGCTACGAAAAACAGCATCTTCCTCTGCATTTGCACCAAAGTCATTAAGGGGTGGTGTCGACGGGACTGAAACTTGGAAAGGGAACCGAGGAACGAGGATTCCATCACACCAATCCACTCCTCCCTGGGTCTAAAGAACAGCGTGAGTTCAAGTCCCGATCCTGCAGCTTATTAGTGCTGTAAACATGGCCCATCCCCTAGCCTCCCTGGGCCTCAGTTTCCTTATCTGTATAATGGGCATGATAATAGCACTTTGTCCAAAAGCCACTGTGAGGTGACACACGGAAAGAGCTTAGAACAGAGCCTGGCACACAGCACACCCTTTATAAGTCCTTTGCTGTTATTTTTAGGCAGGACAGGTTAGCAACCACGTTTTGTTAGCGGAGCAAGGGTGGGGCTCCGCTGCCCTCGAGGGGACCGTCACACTCCTTCTAGCCAGGACAAGTAGAACGCCTTCTCTGCAGAGACTTGGGGGACTAAATGTCCTTCTTGGGACTCTTCATCTTTTTGGCTCCACCAATAAAGCCACTAAGTCCAGGTGGCCTGGCAGACTGTCCCCGGGAAGGAGACCCTGTGTCCCTGGGCAGGCTGTGTGCTGAGGGGAAGCGAGGCTGGGTCCCTGTCACAACTGCTGGCCCATGGTGGCTTCCGAGCCAAAGGCAGCCCATGCATGCCCCTTCCCCCGCAGGGGAGCCAGCTCTCTCTAGTGTGGTTTGTGGGAACACCACCCAGCCGGTTGGAGGGTGGCTGGCGAACCCCATCCCAGCTGGCTCTCCTGGGGCCCAGGACGCTGTCACCAAGGGGGCAGGCTGCAACCCCAGCAGGGCCGGGCCACTGTTCTGATTCTGCCCGTGCGGCCCTGGCAGCGGAGGAGGGTGCCACCTTGCTGAGCAGCCCCTGAGTGCCCTGCAGACTCCCTAAGCAGGGCCAGCTCCGCCGGTGGCGTTGAGGGGGACCCAGCGCGGAAGACATAGACCTCACCTGGGAGAGCCCGCCATCCCCTGTTTCCTTGACTCCTCTGCTGCGGACGCAGAGCTGGACCCAAACCAGGCGGCCAGCTTCCTGGGGCCTTCCCCCTCCAGCTCTCTGTACCCTGAGGCAGGCTTCCAGATGCCCCCCCCCTCCAAAAGCAGGGCTTTCTGAGTTGCTAAGGAGAGAGCTGGGCTTTCCTGCCCCGTGGCGGGGAGGGGGGGCGGGTGGCAGGCTAGCCTCTCCAGAGGCGGGGCACCTTGGGCAGGCCGGGGTCACTATGACTCTCCAGCTGAGCAGGCGGCACTGAGTCGCAGCCTTGTCCTTTGGTGTGCCCCTCCCCTGCCCCGCCTGCCCAGTCCATTTCAATAGTCAAATCCTGTCCTCTTCTCTGAGCACGAAGGTCGCTGAGGAGGAAGCTACGTTCAGTTCCTGGAGCTCCCCACACACTGCCTAAACCAGTGTGTGGGCCCCGGCTGTCCCCTCACCGGAGGGGGCCGGGCAGAAGCTCTGGCCCTGGGGCCCAGGCGGGATGTGGCGTGGGCGCCCCGGGCTGTCAGGCCTCCTCCATGTGGATGCTTCTAGAACGGCAGGGAGGCTGAGGCCTGGCGGCTTCTCCCAGCAGTCCTGGCTCCCTTCAGAGCTGGGCGACTTGGAGGCCCTGACCTCACGCCTGCCCCACGGCGGGCCCCTGCACCCTCGTGACTCCCAGGGGGACAGCAGAGGGGCGAAGCTGAGAAAAGCCCAGCTGCTTCCTCCCCTCCGCTCCCCCGGGGTCCCCAGCACCAGGTGGGTGTGGGGCCAGGTCTGCGCTAGTCTGCAGGGAACAGAGAGACCCGGGGATGGTGTCTGGTTAAATCAATTTGAATTAAAGGATTGGCTTTTTTCTTTTTAAGGGTATTTTTTTTTTGTCTCTTCGGTGTTAAAAGATGCTTTGTTTCATGATATGAGCTGTTGGGAGGTGGCAATTAATTGTCATTCATTTGGTTAGTTTTTAAATCTCTTTAATGGGCAGAACGAGGGGTAGCAGCAAAGTGAGGTCTCCCAGGTTTGGGGTAGGTTTGGTGGTCCGGGGTATCCCCCAGCCTCGGGTGGCTCCTGACCCCACAGGAAGGGTGGCGTCCCCCACAGACGGAGGCGAAAGGGGAGCCCTGGGGTGAGGGCTTCAGCCCTGGCATTTGGGGCCTTGGGGATGGGAGGCTGATGAGAAGTCCAGGCCTGGGCTGAGGGGTGGTGGACATCTGGGGGCATGAGTACCATGGACCCCCCTCCCTAAGGTGCAGACCCTAAACATCTGCCACGGGTCTGAGTAACTCAGTGCAGGAGGGGGAGGCGAGGGGGGCGAGGAGGAGGAAGAGTGAAGGCGGGACACCAGGCCTGGATCCCCGTTTGCCGCCAGCCGGCCGGGCAGGGCAGACAGAGGCCTCGAGCTCCGCGGCCCCCACCGGCTCCCTGCACAGGCAGGGCCGCCAGACTAGAGGCTCCCGGGGCCTGTGGCCCCAGCCCTGGCCAGCCATGACACCACACTGGGCGTCAGAGGAAACCCGTTCCCCACCTGCAGCCTGAGCACCAACCAGCCTGGCACCTGGGCAAAGGGCCACCGTGCAGACAGGGGGCCGGGGCCCTTTTCCTGCAGGACGCCCTCATCCACCAGCACCCAAGGAATCAGCCCCGGGCTGGGTCCTGCCAGGGCAGGGGGAATCCACGTGGGCCCTGGGGAGCCTCCTTGCGGGTTCCAAGGCCCCGTTAGAGGGTCCCCATGGGGTCAGTGTCCACGGGGAAGTCCGGGCCCGTGTCCCCTCCCCGAGGTGTGCGAGTAGAGGGGCAGAAACCCTGCCTCGGGAGGTGCAGCTGCTGCCAGTCAGAGCGCAGGCGTGGGGCCAGCGTGGGCCTGGCTGGTTTTCTAAATGCTCCCAGCCGGCCCTGCAAGCTCTCTGGCCTCTCTCGCCGTCGCCTGGAGCCTGTCCTCACTCCCACTTCACAGGGGCAGGAGTCTAACCGTCTGGGGCAACCTCTGGGCGCAGACGACCTCGGCTGTGACTGTGGTCACCCGTTTAAGCTGCCTGAGCCTCAGTTTCCCCATCTGCAAAATGGGGTGAGAGCAGGACCCGCACTCCAGACTGCTGCGGGGCTGCGAGAGGATGACGCACCAGGGCTTAGACTTGGTGCTCAATACGGGCCCGTGCTCATCGACCCGCTGTGGCTCCCGGCGGCTCAGAAGGACCTTTCCGCAAGCTCAAGGCCACTACTGGGAGACGCATGTGGGGGACACACCCTTCACCCTCCGAGCCCCGGAGCTCCCCGAGGCCCCAGCTAGAGGGCTGGACCGCGGGGCTGCGGGGCGAGGGCCCCCGTGAGACACGGGTCTGGAAGGGGGTTTTAAAGAGGAACCTTCAGCAGCAAGAGGCTGGTCCCTCGGCTGTGAGGGCAGCTAGCACATTCAGCAATGTCCAGAGCCAGGGAGCGGGACGGGGGGGCAGCTCGCCGTGGCTGAGGGGACCAAATGGGTGGGGACGCAGCGGAGTGTGGGGACAAGGAGAAAAGAGGCTGTTGCTGCCCCGGATGGGGACTTCCTCTGTGCTCAGGGCCCTGAACGCCACTTCTGGGTGAACTGAAAGTCCGTTCTTGAGTGCACCCAGCCCGCATTCATGGCTCCCCCAGTAACGGCTTCCTCCGGGGCCTGGCGCCTGGGCACGGGAGGGTCCCCTGTGCCATGTCTGTTCTCCGTGGGGGCTTCCACCCCGGGCACCCCTGACTAACAGCAGGGCCGACGGGGCTGTTCTCTGACACACCCACCATCGCGGGGCCCCGAGCTTCCGCCTACCCCAAAGAGCCTGTACCCCTTCTCCCGGCCTCTGGGACCCCGAGAACTCCCTGCACCACAGCTCATGGGCAGCTGCAGTGTGTGACCAGGCCTCAGGGTGGCTCTGGGGGTCTCAGCGCTGCTGAACCTGAAGTCCCAGGCCAGCCAGTCCACCACGGACCACCGATGGGCCCCCGCCACACCTGGACAGTGTGCAAGTCCGGTCACTCCGTGCCAGGACATAAAGACCCCCCACACCCCCCATCTCAGTGCCGGGCCCCTGACTCAGCCCCGAGCTGGCGTCCCCTCTCTGAGCAGCACCCCTGCACCTCTGGGCCCGGGCAGCGGAGGCCAGGCCGGGACGGAGGGCGCTGGCCGGGCAAGCACGGTACTCACAGCACGCAGAGCGCGTAGGCCCGGGAGATGGACTCGCTGGCACGCACGAGGAAGCTCCCGTCCTTGCCAGTCCTGGAGAGCAGCTCCTCGGCTTTGGAGCGGGTGATGTTGCCGTGGTTCCAGCAGGGGACCATGGCGGGCGTGGGCCTCCGAGGGCCGGGCCGGCGGCCACCCCCAGGATCGACAGGCCACCGAGGGGGAGCTGAGGCCCCTGAGACACTGCCACCCGCCGCCTGTCCCCTCTCTGCTGCCCGGGCTGCTGCCACCAGCTCACTGACCGACGACTTCCTGTTTCAGGCGCTTTGCGAGGGAAAGGAAACGAGAGCTGCAGAGAACTTCCTCCTTGCAGAGCCCAAGCAGGAGCTCCGGTCCTCCGCCGTCCCACCCCACCCGCCGAGGCCCGCGGCCCCCGCCTCCCACTTGCCCGCCCTTTCTCTGTCTTCTGATGGGCCCCGGGCCCCAGAGGGTCAAGTGCCAGCTCACGTCCTGGGGGGATTGGCAGCTCCTTTGGGGTCAGGAGGTTCGTAGCGGGCTTCTGACAGGCGTGTGCATGCCCACGTGGGGCGGCCACGCCCTGGACAGATCCTCAGCCTTCTTCCCTTCCCCAGGGCTTTTCAGCTCCCGCCCCTCTCCCCCCGCAACAGACCCCAGGAACTGAGGCTCAAGGGGCGTTCTCGGCGGGGGCTAAGCCTGCCCGGGGCTGAGCAAAAGTGAGGGGGAGGGATACAGTCCAGCCCTCCTCCCCATATTGGAGACTCATGGTCATTCAGACACCACACAGCCCTGGGCACGGGGGACACCTTGGGTGTCCCTACGTGACAGCCCCAAGGGCCCAGGTGGCAGCTCTGTGACACCTTTACTCCCATCCTCAGGAGGTGGGGCGACTTGACCTTCACGGCAACATGAATACAGGCTGGGTTTTCACCTGCGGGTCTTTCCAGAGCACCCACCCAGGACACCCACACGTCCCCCGGGGGGCAAGCTCCTTCCTGAGTTCGTCTCAGCAGAGTCGGGGGTGGCCAGGCATGGCTGCCGTCGCCCACGGCTCAGAGAGAAGCCGCCTCTGTGGGGCCACCGCCCCGGACCAGGGGGTTCGAGGGCTCCAAAGTGGACATCCTCCCACACTGGGCCCCAGACCGGGGGCCTCAGTCCTTGGGTCAGACCCACCCCCATGAAGGGGCAAGTGCTGACCTTTGGCGCAGGGGGCCCCCCAGTCCCACATCCAGGCCCTGCCCCCCAGGACATGTCAACAGAATGCCCTCCGTGCCCTGGGCCAGGCCTCCTCCGCCTTGAGGACAGTGCCGGGGGAGCGCCTGTGTGCCGGGCGGTGGGGGGGGCCCCAGCACCTCCAACCTGCAGCCGCGCCTGCGGCGGGTGATTGCGAGATGGCGAGGGAGCCATGTGCTCTCGCCCAGGGGGCCTGACCTCGCCCTGATTCTGAGGCCCAGAAACCACCCCCCTCCCCAGGGCCTCTCTGGGCTCCAGGTGACTCAGCCCCAACACCTCCCATCCTCACGCCCACCCCCCAAAGCCCGTCCCCCCCTCCCGCCCCCTTCCCCGGCTCCGCCCACTGAACCCAAGGACTAGACTCTCAACCCTTCGGCCAGCCCAAATCAGAGGCCCTCTGGGCAGGCCCCGAGCGGGCATGGGGACAGGGCGGGGCTAAGAGGTGGCCTTCAAGCTCTGGCCTTCCTGAAGCCAGCTGGGCCCTGGGGCTGCCAACTCCCCCCTCCTCTGTCACCTCAGGTCTCCCCGACCCTGATGCTGCCATCCCGACCTTCCTTCCCTCCTGACCTGAGCCGGCTTCTGCCCTGCTCTCGGCCTCCAGGCCCCGGGTCAGCCCAGGGCCCCTCAGTGCCTGGGCCAACTCACCCCTAGAGCCCCTCCACCAGGTGGTGCCTATAACCACTGCCCCCCCTGCCCCACCTTCCAGCCTCCCTGTGTCCCTCTCTCACACCTCCGGCCCCCCTGAGCCCTACATCTCAGCAGTCGGGAGTGGCCAGTGGGCCTGTCCTTGCCCTTTGACTCCGGTGTGGTTTCCCTGTGACACACACATGACTCATGCTCGACACATACATGACACACATTTCCCTGATTTGTAAGGCCCATCTCATCCGCACCTTGTCCCAACCCAACTGCCTGAGCCATCTGAATGGTCAGCTTTGCCGTCCCCCTGCCTGATGAGCCCCGCCCCACCCGGTGCGGGAAACCCCAACACCCAGGCCGGGCTGCCCTGACAGTGGTGGGTGGGGCCTGGGTGAATGTTTCTGGCAGGGCCCGTATCTATAGAAACAATGAAATTCACGGACATCAAAGAAGACTTAGCACAGTGGACGGAGAGGAGGTCGGCACGTGTGTGTTCTGTGTGTGTTCTGTGTGTGTGCATGCGCCGTCCAATCAGGGCACGTGACGTCCTCGTGACGCCAGGTCCCCTCTTCCTGCTTTCCGGCGGCCGATGCCTGGTCCCTGGCTGATCCCGTCTCTCGCCCAGTGGGGCCGGGGTGGCAGTGTGCGCCTGTTCATTCCCAGACGACATCCATCCTCCTGCTCCACAGTCCCCAGCACGTTTACCTGTCGCTGGGTGCCCCATTGCTGCTGATGCCCGTGAACACCAGCTTCTGGCAATTCCCTCCGGGGCCATGGACAAACTCGGATGCATGTCTTGCCCAGAGCACACAAGAAAACGGGAACGACCGTTCGGTTCATTTTCGGGTCCCATTAAAGCTCCTGTCCTGAAGTTCGCAGGCTAACCGTAGAGCAGCACACCATCTCACCCGCTTCTCTTGCGCTTGGGGGCCACGGTCACTGCGTTGCTAGATGGGGGTCTCTGCCACTGCTGACCACGCCCGGCCTTGCACACAGTGAGCAGTCCCGTTCTCGAGGAGTGTCCGTCCTCACGGGGCACGCGTAAGAGTCCCCTGGAGAGCTCAGCGTCAGCTGACCGGAGGAGCCCCTAGCGGTTGTAGAGGGACAGTCCCGAGAGCCTTTGGAGGAGAGGCTGCTGCCCGACACCTGGACAGCAACCTCCAGAGGGGCCGGAGTGACCGCCCCAGGGCTGTCGGCCGGCGTGCGGAGGGCAGAGAACCCCTGCCGTGCCCCTGCCGCCCTCAGTGCTGCTGGATGGAGGTGGTGCCGTGGGTGGGACGCCATTAGGTGAGAGGTGACCTGGGGCCTACATACAGTTCAAGGCCGAGGAGTGGCCGTGAACGCTTAGTGTCCCAGCGCCCCAAACTTCTCTTGTATCTGACATGGGAGTCACCCCAAATCAGCATCTCAGCACCATTCTAGTCACCTGAGCTTGTGCCATGGAGCAAAAGAAACCCCACGCTGGTTAGGAGTGACCTGCTCCCCAGGCTTCGCTCTTAAATCACACCCCGCCGTGGGACTCCGGAGAGACCCCGTTGGCATGAGTCGCAGAGCTCCGTGGGACAGCTGGTCGACCCCACATGTAAGGGGCAGGGTTGGAAAGCAGCTGGTGGGAAAGACAGGGCCCAGGTCCAGACTGGAGCGCTTCACCCAGCAGCACTGCAAGCCCCGGCCAGTGCCAGGCGCTGGGGGGGACTTGGAGAATTTCTAGGAAGTCAGGGCAGTGAGCAGCAGCAGGGTGGTCTGGCAGGCGCCAGCTCACGGGCCCACGGCTGTCTCTAGAAGCTCTGGGAAGAGCAGGCAAAACCTCGGTGTTGAAGAAACGAGCTTCTGTGGCTGCTCCCCCCGCCTGCCTTCTCCTCCTCCTCACAAGGAGTCTCGGTGCCACGTCTGCTGCTGGCATCTTCGAGTTGGCCTTGCCAGACCGTCTCCTGGACCCCCGAAGATGCAAATTTGGCCCCAATTCTGTGAAACCATCCCTGAGCATCCTGACGAGCAGGCAGGCGCGGTCTCTGTTCACAGTCCCTGCCCCCCATTCCCCGCTCCCCCAGGCTCCGATAACTCTGCTTCAGGGCGGTAAATCAGACCTGGGGCTCAGACACAGGTGAGGGGCCCGCGTCTGCATGCGGCTCTGCCACAAATACCCAGCAGCTGAATCCCAGTTGCATCTCTGTGGAGTTATGGAAGGTGCCTGGTGCCAAGGAGGTGCTGGGACCGGGCCAGTCTCTGGGGTGGCCCCTCAGATCAGTCCAGTGCCTGGAGGGCAGAGCCTGGCTTCAAAGAGGAAGGGATTGTCTAACGTGCTCTTTATCTGCAGCTAAAAATAACCTAACTGGGTCAGGTCCTGAGGCTGGGGAGTCCCGCCACCAGGGGGAGCCTTGAACTGTAGCCCCATCCAGGAGTTCAGGTGGGCTGGTGGGCAGAGCCCTAACTCTCATGTTCCCATAGCAACAGTGCCAGCAGGGATAGAGGCCATTTCCCAAGAGGTCCTAATTGTGCTAGAGGACATCGGTGAACACCAAAGCTCCGGCAGCAGGCTGCTTTGCCTATTCACCGAAGATGCTGGAAAATCAAACCGGTGAACAGCGACAAGAAATAGTTTGACTTTGGGAAGAATCAGCTGAGGGAGAATTGCATTCACAAAAATAACTTGGGTCTGTTGCCAAGGTTCTCAAGGACACGGGAAAGTATTTGTAATCATACAATGGTAAGTAGAAAAAAAACCAGAAAACCAATCGAAGATATTGATTCTAAGCATGGAAAAAACTTTATCTCAGGAAATCAGTGATTATGAAGAGTGCTCAGTTAGGTGGCAATTCTGTAAGCATTTTTTTTTCTTCTTTTTATTTTTCCAGGTTTCCTTTATGACCACACACTACTTTTATAACAATAAAATTAAATACATAAAACGATAACTCTGGTTCTGGAAGGTGTGTACGAAGTCCTTTGGGACAGCCTGGCTTTCTGTAGGGGCTGGTGGCGTCGCCAGAGACAAAATGTCCCTCAGGGTTCCTAAGGAAGAAATGGACTTCTTTCTTTAATCTTTTAAAAATTATTTTTATTTTTTAGGTTAAAGATTTTATTTACTTATTTTCAGAGAGAGGAGAAGGGAGGGAAAAAGAGAGAGAGAAACATCAATTGGTTACCTCTTATTTGCCCCCAAACGGGGACCTGGCCCACAAGCCAGGCATGTGCCCTGACAGGGAGTCGAACCGGCGCCCTTTCGGTTCAAAGGCCGGCACTCAATCCACTGAGCCACACCAGCCAGGGTGAAATCTTTTTTAAAATTAAAAAGTAGTACGCACAATGGAAAGCAAAGTTTCCTGCTGACCCAGAGGCCCTGGTTCCACCGTCCCGAGGCCAGCACCTTGAGGATTCTTGCAGAACTCTGCGCTTACACGA